ACTGATCAGTGGTTTTCTTTGTTTTGTTTTTGAACTTCCATAGCAACACACAAAAATAAAGCTGTTGTTATTACACGAGCACTTATGTAATTCCAGCATCTTGTAGGCAGAGTATCTGAGGACGAAGTCAACAAATTCTTGGCTGAATCTCCTCATCGTGGTTCTTAGAGTATGACTTGGTTGGATCTTTGGAAATTGCTGGAGAAGGGAGACTCTTTTATAAGCTTGGTCCAACCTTCCAAAATTGCTTTAAAATGCATGCACCTGCTCATTCCTTGCTTGCACGTGCAAATATCTTGTGTGTTGTGGCTTTCTCTCCTTGCCACTGGGGAAAATTGGTTCAAGGTCTTTTGAGATAGATGGCTTCCTTCCAGATCAGCAGTAGGAAACTTGACATAAGAAAGCAAACTGAGGGAGCGTCATACTTTGTCACTTTTTTAAAAGATTTTTTTTTCCCCAACGAAGCTCATTAAGCTCCATAAAGGAATATACTTAATCATATATACCAGAGAGGGATGTTTTCATGGGGGTACTAGTTGATTGCCTGGAAGGTATATATAGGAGAAGGGGTCTACAGGTTGCCGAAGGCATGCTGGAGGGGTGGAGGTGGAGTCGCCTGCCCAGCAAGTCTCCCTGAAGTTGGTCTGACCCACTAGAGAGGTGTTAAAATGGATCTAACACTTCTCCTCAGACACTGTCTCCCCAGTTACTTTTCTCAGGATGTTGTGGCAATTCTGATGGGTACTTCTGCAAGGAACCTGTTTTCCCTCCTAGTCCTCTTTAAAGGGAGGTGTGGCTCAGTTCCCAGTTCTTAGCATAAATGTCAGTCCCATTCTTCCTCCTCCATTAAGCCCAGAGACTCCTTGCCCTTTGCACACAGCATACTGTTTCTCAACAGGATCCCCAGAACTTCTCCCTGCTCATTTGAGGACCTTGGTGATAGTGGGCACTGTGCAGCTGTCAAACACTGGGGTCTGCTGCTAAGTGTTATTTTAATTTCTCTTCATCTAAATTCCTCATAGAGCAGCTTTTGAAACATGAGATTGTCTTATTAAGAGGTACTTATCGTAAAGTAGAGCGAGCTCCACCTTTGATGAAGACAGAAGAGGCCAAGTTTGATGGGTTGGACAGCGTTAGACAAAGAGAGTAATTAATGACTTAATTGCCTCTTCACACTTTCCTTAAGAAAAGGAAGTTTTTCTTCTTTTCTTTCAAAACTATCCGGGCTCAGAATTGGAATTCCTAATGTTATTTTACCATTTAGAAAAAAAAAAAAAAAAGAAAGAATAAAAGAAAAAAGAAAAATGAACCAGAACCCAATTTTTCTGTTACATTTTCCTGTAATATCTTCCTCACTTTCTAAAATTATCGTCTGTTGATTTGCCTTGGAAGTTGCAACGATCTGTTTGTAGAGAGTTCAGTACCTTATATAGATTTCCTTGTGTTACTTTAAATGCTGATAAGATACGTGGCAAATTAATGAAATAAAAATAGTTTTGTCAATAAATAGAAGAGAAGCCACTTTCAACATTTGCTCAGTACCCATTGCTTTTCAGGGCCTAGACAAAATTAGTGGGTAGGATTAAAGAATATATTCGTCTTTTATCCCATGTTTGAGTACTTGATCACAGAGGCATGGTTTAATCCAAACATCAATAGCACCTCGTCAATTCCATCAGAGACAGCTGTCAAAGTGGACTTTGGGTTTGTTAGAGCTTTGTGTTTTATCCTTTTTTAAGGTCACGGAGTATTTTCTTTGATTTCTGATGCTGAAATCTTTCTTAATCTTCTAAACTTGAGAAACATCTGTTAAGATTTAATGGGATGGCTTTTGTCTTAAAATTAGAGTCCATCTTGCAAATCTTTCCACCTCCTTTCCTTTCTTAACCCCCAATTTGGAAAACGGGGAGCCGGGACAGAGGAAGTGAAGCGCATGGCCTTGATCAGGCAGAAGCTCTTCTGGTCAGTGTGCGAGAGAGTGTGTTAGAGTGACTATCAGGCAGTACGGGGCACTTCTGATTGCTGTGACCACAGCGTTCAATTTTGTTTCGTTTCCTAGAGACATTAGCAATTTCCTTGTAGCACATCACTTAGCCCAGGATCTGAGTGGCAGATTTATGGATCCCAGAGAATAATGAGACAAAAATGTTGTAAGCAGGAGAAACAGCCTGAAATAGGAGTTTTAACCCTTTCCCCTAAGATTCCTTGTTACTGGATTGCATCATGTTGACAAAATTTAGTAGTTAAAATAGCTGGAGGTACAATATTGGCATCTAAAAATATATGCTTCTAAATACGTACAGACAGCTGTCATGTCTGTTGACAGAATATATTAGTCATTATCCTCATCAGCAGACGAAATCATCACAGTTTTCATAATGGAGGTGTTTCTTACTACATAATTGCTTGTGATTTTGGAGGTCCTCTGATAAAGTCACCACCATTGTAATCATGGTGTTTTCATTTACTTGCTTTTTATATTCTTAACCTGGATGTTAACACCTCAGCCAGAACGCTTCACTGGGAAGCATTAAGAGGCTTCTATTTATTGCTTCAGACACATTTCCACTTACCTTTGAGATGGAAATATGGGCCGGAAACTTCTGTTCTCAACAAAGAAGGTAGTCCAAGACCTTTCACACTAAAGGTGTCAATATCCGAATTGAACCTTCTATAAATATAGTGTTAGAAAAACGTGTATAACTCCTGAGAACTGGATTCGCCATCGTCAGAGGTTTTCTTGCCTCTTTTCACAGGCAGGAACTAGCAGGAGTGGGTTTTGGGCAGTCAGAGAGAACTCTCAATGTCACATTGAGGGACCATAGAACTTTGGGGAGCTTATATAACTGTTCTGAGCCTCAGCTTCTTAGTGGAAAATGGGGATGATCATAACTACCTTACAGCTTTGTTCAAACATTCATGAAATAACTGCACCCAGAATGCGCTTGCTACATAGTAGGTGATTGAAAAAATATTAGCTTGTCTTCCTTCCCTGTTACCCTTGCATTCTCCCTCCACTTCCTCTCCCCACCTCAACACATGCGTGCAGCTTGTTTCCTTTTCCGTATGAAGGATTCCAGAGAACTGGTACCAAATTTACTTCTGAAATGGGAGTAGAACAGCAGTCTCAGCCCTCACTCCCCTATTTCTGACCATTCCCCAATCTGGCAAGACGAGAATTCTCATCCTTATAAACAAGAGCAAAATATTAACAGTTATCTGCATCAGGCATTGTGTGAAATGCTTACATATTTAATTGTCACGATGAATTTTTGAAGTAGATGCAGTTCTTATCTCCACTATACAGAGGAAACTGAGGCTCAGAGAGCGTGGGTCACTTGCCTAGGATCACACAGCTGAGAGTGGAGAAGCCAGGCCTTGACACAGGCATCTTCTCTGCAGCGCAGCAGGTACCCCATGCTCATAAGGCAAATAAGCCCCAGGGTTAGGTAGGTGTCTGGAGGACTATTAGTCACATTCTTACAGCCCTTTTTGATTTGTCAGGCACTGTCTCGCAGAGCCTTAGTCCCCAAGTCCTCTCAGCTGGGAGGAAGGACTCGTGAGTGGCTGAGATGGAGCAAGGCCCGCCCTTTAGGGAGGCATGTTGCTGCTGTTCACAATATGAGGGGGTCTTGTCAAGCATTGTTGTTTTTCCCCCTCTGCCTCTTCCTCCCACTTCTGACAAGGTTTTCAATTAGCAGCTTGTAGAGGTCCGGCCTGTGGTCCTCATTTCATGCAATATGTATAACTGAATTCCCCCAGAGGGAATTTGAGGGCAAGGGGACAAAAGGGAGGGGTGACATAAAGGCCCCCTGACTGGAGGACAGAAATGTGCTGTGGGTATGGACTGAAAGCAATGCTTCTTTTAAACGTCTGTGGGGCCAGGGGTCATTTGGGAAGTGACTTTCATGGAGATGAAAGGGGTCTGCTGCTGCTGCAGGATGTGGGGCCACTGCACTGGTTGTTGGGCCTGGAGTCTCCACCTTGTTTCTGGTTTCTGGTGGAACACATACAGAGACTGGAGTAGGCAACTGCTTATGCCTTTTTGTGCTTAGGAAGAACTCATTTTCTCCCTCTTTTGGGAGATGAATGAATCTCCCAGGTCCCTGGTGGCTTCTCCCAGTGGAAGGCCTCGTTCATCTCGAGGCCTGGACTGCTTATTTAACGCCCAGGCTGAATGGAGCTAGTGCCCTCCCTTCTTTCCAGGGCAGGAACGATGCCATTGTTTCTGCAGAGAGTCTGCTAGCTGCTTTTCCTTTATCTCCAAGCTATGTCTCCACTTCACCTTGGTGCCATGTTACCTTTCTTTTAATTTGTTGAAAGCAGGATTCCTTTTTTAAGGATGAAAAATAGCACATCCTTCTAAACACAAATGCTACACATTTGCCACCTCCCTCCAAGAAAGCTCATGATCTACCCGAACATAAGGGCCCCTTGAATCAGATGACAGAGATGTGCTGTCATACAGGCTGAACTTATGTGGGACCGGGGGTCATCTGAAAAAGGTGACAGAATAAAACTAAATTCTGGTTCTAAACAGAGATAAAGAGGTTGTAAGCAGCCTTTAAATCCCCAGTATGGGGTTTACGTCCTTTTTAAGGGTCTACGGATACAGTTTGCTCTTAAAAAGGACCATGGACCTGGGTACCTTCTTGGTGGTCCTGAGGGAACCTGATGTTTGAAGGGTCAGAGAAGAGAGATTTTGGATGTCTGGAGGCAGAGACACAACTCCGTTCCCCTGGGTCCCAGAGGCCTCTGGGAAGCAGCCACAGGCACATAATAAGGAGTTAAGTCTATGGTCTGTTTTGTGAGAGCAAAGAGTAAGGAGAGTAAAAGGTTCCTAATGAATCATGCTGATGTTTGAACTTGAAGTCATCCCAAAAGCTTATGTTCTCATCAGAGCATATAGTCATAGCTTATGTTCCCTTTGTGTTTGCCTCTCCTCCCCTTCCCTCCTGTCCCCTCTCCTCCCCTCTTCCCTCCCCACTTCCTTCCCTTCCCTCTTCATCCCTCTCCTTTCATTCCCTCCTCCCCACACCCTATCAGCAAACACATCCTCTTTGCCAGCCAACTTCATGTTGAGGGCTGTTAGGAGTAACCAGTTCTCCGTAGGACAGATCTGAATCATCCCACGTGGGGTGTATAGTCATGTAATGAGAACATGTGGAAACAGGCCCTTGAAGAAGCTGGACTCAGGGCTGCCCACTGCCAACATTTTCCAGGTGAGCACGATTGAATTACAGGCACAGACCGGACCTCGGTGCTCTGTGCAGTCAGGCAAGAACTGCCTGTGTTGAAGACAGTGAGGGTGTGAGTGAAAATCTGCTTTCCAGTGAAAAGTGACTCTGAATCTCCATGATGGTTTCCTAGACACAGTTTCAGCTTTTGAAATTTCCTGCAAACGAGGCCTTTCCCGTTCTGGGTGAGTGGGCTCTCCCCGCCTCCTGCTTCTGACATCCCTGCCACTGCCAACCTGTTAGGCAAGAGTCAGGAAAGGCACCCACTGCCTGGGGCAGGCTGGTTCGGTGGGCACTCATCAGGAGGTTTGGGTGTCTCCAACTAGTAAACACACTTGCTGTTATGAACTCCATACATAAAAGGCAAAGTATCACATTTTCCTCTGAATTCTTGAGGAAATTGCTCTCATATACAACACCAACCTTTGGCTGCATGACAGAGACGGAGTGTCGTTTGCATGCCATTACCAGGCTGTAAAGTCTGGTCAGGGCTGCCTTTTCGGAGTTTCCAATCTTTTGGGATCCTGGGAGGGTCACCCTGTGGGTCAGGTTTGTTTAGTCTGGTCCGTAATGGTGTAAAGTGGCCTTGACTGTCGAGCCTACCTAAATAATGCCCTATCTGTTTGATACTTCAACAGTCCCTCTAAGTTGTATATATGTTTCACTTTCTAATAGTCAAAGCCGAATTGGATTTCATTGTTAATAGAAGGCAAATTGTTTCTAAAAACAACCTCATCTCGCTTTGAAAATCAGCCTGAGTTCAGAGGGCCCCTGCATTTTAAGGGGTGAGCTACATTTTCCCTGGGAGAATGGTGCAACAGTTCTGTGTTTTTGTATGCACATTACCCACTCTTGGCATCTCTTTCAAGTGACTCATTTGAATATATGCTATTAAAAAAACTTTTTTATTGAAATATAACATACATGGAGGAAACAACACACATCCTAAGAGTCCAGTGAATTTTCAAAGACTGAACACACCCTAGCAATTGGACCCCCTATCAAGAAACAGAACCTCATCAGCCCTCCAGGAGACCCCTCGTGGTCCTTCATTTGAGCTTACACAATTTTAAATTTCTCTTGTTTATAATTTACCCAGGGTGTTCTATCTGCCAACTTACTCCTCATTTCCTGATGGTATAACCTTCTCCGGATTGTCACCTACAAATCAGGAGGGAAAGGAGCCTGCTCGATCTTCTGGGTAATAAACAGTGCCTTTCCAGAATCTTTGAATCTGGCGTTGTAATGTCCTATGGAGCTTTGCAAATTCATCAATACCTTGTTAAAATGGGGTTCATTTTTATATGGATCCCTCTAGAAGCTCAAATCATACTCCTTATTTCATACGATAAAAACCGGTTTCACAAGATTAGTCTAAATGGCATGGGTTTATCTATCTAATTCAAACTCTAGTTTTGTGAAACTCTATTGAACCCACTTTATAAATGTTAAGTGGTCACGGCCTTGGGGGTGGAGGGGATAGTGGTGGAAGAAAGATGCTCATTAGAAATTTTTGCTCAGAGGCTTTTAGGAGTAAATAAGTTCTCCTCCCCAACCTCCCTATATTTCAAAACAAATCTTGTTTGAAGCCCTATAGATGGACTTTCCCTCCCCCTTTAAAAATACTTCAATTCCTTTCTTCCTAAGCTCCTCAGCTCCCAGCACAGCTTTCATTACAGCACCATAAATAAAAAGTGACATAAAATTATACAGCCCTGTGTAAAGTAGTTTAAGGAAAATGTCTTTTATGGCAGCTTTTATGGTTTCACCAATTAGTTATTAGATTTTCTCCATTTTTAATTTGATGTCCTGTGTGTGCAGTCTAAAAGGTTTCTCCCCCCACCCCTCTTTCATCTCCTGGCAGTAATAGGTCTGGGGGGCGATGAGCCCCGGTTAGCAAACTTTCTTGTTTTGTGAAAGCATTTCACTACAGCCTGTTGCTAGACTTGGGCAAAGCACGTTCCTCGGGACAGAAGCCAGCACTGAACTATTTTCAAGTGAGTGGAGTTTCACCCCCTTATGAACACAGTGTCGCCTGCGGCCAGTGGGCCTCTCTCCCACTGAGGGTGGCTAGCTGCAGGGAGGCCTCGGGATGGCACTGTAACAGTTGGATCTTCAGCTGATAATTCCTGAGTTTTTAGTAACTTTCCAAACATTCCCGGGGAGTGAGAATAACAGAGATTTACTCCTGCCAAAATTTAATCATGCAGAAAAAGCGAAATTTAGATCAGTGTGTAGATTAATTTTTAATGTGATCGCTCGACAGCGGAGGGTAAGGAAGCCAGAAGTTGAACACTTAGCGCAGCTGAGTCTAGACCATTGCAATTTGATTCATTTGGGGAAATTGTATTAGGTTTTAGGCTTTGGCTAGGGCCAGGCTGTTCTGTTTGGGAGTGCATGATGTCATTGTGTCAAGCGTGTCACGGCCAAGGCATTCTGATATTTATGTTGGCTTCAGATCTAGCCCAGAGTACATGGCAGGCTCAATTTATTGCTACTTTAACTTTGTTTAGTCATGGAGAGGCTTTATTTATGTTGGTAAATTTCAAACAGTGGCCAACAGTGACTGCACAATGAAAAGGCCTGCAAAATTCGTCATCGATAAATCACCTTGTTGCTGAGTTTCTTTAATTAAGGAAAAACTCTGTCTGTTGATCCCTGTGGTTGCTGGAAGAAAAGCAGGGTGGGGAGGGCTTTGATTAATCCATCTATCAGCCCTGCTTTGGAAAGTGAGTCTCCTGTTTCTGATTGTAGCTGGGCAAAGACCTAAATAAAAATTTATCTTGTCAAAACCTATGGGCTAACTGAAAGCAAATAAAGAAGTTTTATGGCATCCACATAAAGTTAAATAAATAGGGAGAAAGTGCAGTGGGTCCTACGGACATTTTTTAGTACAGTACGTGGCCGTTCTTTGGGGAGAGCTCATTAACTTAAAAAAATTACCTTTAATAGGCCACTCATTATCGTTATCATCAAATGCTTCACTTGTCTAACATTCCAGGGCTTAATACCTGATTAAAACCAAAGACTGGGGCTCGTGGCTTGGTGCTGTCGAAACTACTCAAAATGGTAAGCACAGTGAGTTCTTCTAAAGGGTAAATAAATATGGTCACTGAAAGCAGCATGGCAAGTATCAGGGGATATTTTTTTTATTGATCTTTCTGGAAGATAGTCAGTCTTCCTGGTGATGACATACTTTGGGGGCAATGGGATGAAGCTGTTTCGTCTCTGACTGAACAAGGGACCTCATCTTTGGTTGAACTTACCTGTCATGTGGAGGACTTCCTCTGGTGGGAAAAGTCTAGAAAAATATATTGGGATTGGAAGTTTCTTTTCGCCAAATGCAGTTTAAGCAGACCTCTCTGAGCTTGGGCACGGTAGCGTACATTTTATTTCTGGTTAAAAAAATCTTTGAATCAGATAAAAATAGCATCTGGTGATGAAGAAGGCCAGTTTCGATCCTAGAATGGGCTTAAGGGTATTTGCTTTTCTTTTTTTAGTTTATGAAAAGAGAGCTTTCTTGATACCAAGCTTCAGGATCCATTCATAGGAAAGTGCAATTTCTCAAGCATCAAATCTTGGAGCACGATGCATCTGGCAATGAGCTCCTCTCTATTTGATGAAGTTGTACAATAAATGTGGGCCTTGGCGGGGCGGGCGGGGAGGCATATTTTGACAACGATCTCTTGTGGGATCCTGGTGCTGTAGTCTACTTTGGGACATGACATCTTTGTGTTGACAGACTAAAGCTGCTCTTGGATTTAGCTGATGGTTTTGCAAGTTCCTGGCTCCTTTCGGTCCTCCTGTCAGTGTGCTGTTTTTATTCATGGTCGGGCTCCCCATGTCTGAGGGTGGTGGTCCTGGGGATGGTGTGTGAAAAGCAAGGCTGCTCGGCCAGAATCTAGTTAGAAGAGATGGGAAAGCTAAACCTTTCTCTGCATTGTAAGACAAAAACTTACTCCAATGTGGGACAGTTTTATTATATAGGTTACGATCTGGACCATACGAATTAGTCATAGGTTGATAAAAATTTCTAGCCACTTTTATAAAGACTATATCTCACTCACTTTTTATGTTCTTCATAACTTCAAGGTATAGTTCAAGGTTATCTTGGAATGACCATAGTTTGCCCCGTGCATAACAAAGGGCACTTTACTTTTTCCCAGCACTGAGGTCAGAGGTCAATGACAGGGCAACAGGTACATGCTAAGCTCTCTCTTATGAGTCTAGCGAGTACAGGGCAGTGTGGAGACCCCAATGAATCCTAAGTCATGCCCTTGCCCTGTAGAGACTCCTCCCAGAAGGAGGTAGGATTTATATAACTGTCTGATTGAAAGCGAGAACTCCTATGAGGTGCAATCATAAAATGTCATTGTTCTCTCTTGCCTGGGCTGTGGGGCTAGTTCTCCATCCCTTGGGTGAGATCTAGGGCGAGTTCTATCACTGTTCTGATCATTCCATGATCTTTTGTTTGTTAAAATGTTTTTACTTCAGTATTACCACAGTGGTTTTCAACCCAGGCTGTTCATCAGAATTGTGAGGGCAGCTTTTAAAAAACATTGATATGTAGGCTGCTCCCCAGAACAATGAAATCAGCATCAGCATCTCTGGGGATTGGGTCCAGGAATTTTAAAAGCTCCCCAGGTGATCCCAATGGGCAGCTAGGATTGAGAACCACTGAAATGAAATGCACAGTTCCAGAGAAATAATGAAAAATTTAAATTTTGTTTAAAATTAAAGCTGCCCCTTATGTTTTTCTGACCTGCGGTTTCGACTTGGGGAGCATTCTTTCTTTTCAGGTTTCTTTATGCAGGGTTCTGGCACCAGCCTTTGGTGCCTCACAGACCTCAGGGGTCACTGAATAAGTTCTCACTGGTCCACTTGAAGCCCCTTCCACTAGTCTGCAGGTGAAGAGAAGCACTATTTTAGGAAAAAACAGTAGTCGTTCTCCAATATTTGTTCTGCTTCTTTCCACAGTGCAAACATGGCTTCCCAGAATAAAGAGTGTTTCCCAGTTTCCCTTGCAACCAGATGTGGCCATGTGGATAAATTCTCATCAATGGCATTTTGAGTAGTAGTGTGGGCAATTTGCAGGGAATGTCTTTATTTGATTTTTTTTCCTTTTTTTCCTTTATTATCACTGATGTACAATATTTATTAATTTCATACAACATAGTGATTCAACATTTATTCACCTTGCAAGGTAATCACTACAATAAATCTGGTAACCATTCCAGGAAATGTCTTTAAAGGGAGAGCACACCCATCTCCTCATACCCGTTTCCTACTGGATAGAATGCAGTTGGCTGGGCTGCAAGAGCCATCTTGGTCCCAGAAGTAGACGTAGCATGTTGAGGAGGTGGAATAAAAGCTGTAAGGAGCCTGGGCCCCCGTTGAGTGAGAAACCAGCATACGCAGCCTACTGAAACTTTAACATGAGAGAGAAATGAACTTTTATCTTTTAAAATCCACTATTATTATGGGTTTTCTGATACAACTGAATCTAATCTTCACTAATTCAGAATTTTGTCCTGAAATGGAGTGCTAAGCCTGAGCTGAGACAGGTAAAAGGCCTCAAGGACGTAGATGTTGCAGGCTAGAAAGACGGTCACCTCGATTACGTGGTGGCAAAACATTTAGTCAAGTTGTCATCTGTTATACTTTGAAAGGCAGGCCACATATTAATTGAAATGGTAGAAAAAAGAGGTCAGAATGTTTTGTTGGCTGCTGCTTGCTACTTTGAGCCAAGTCCTACTTGGCTAAAATGGCAGCCTTGTTAAGATGTAACACTGTAGCCCCAAATCTTCTTTCAATAACTTCCTTTAAGAGTTCTTTGCTGTTAGATGGGAATCGGTGGCTGTGAAGATCAGAACGCAGCCAAGCCTTTTGTTCCAGTTGTCACTACGTTGAGAGAGAGGAGTGTAGCCATATGTTGAGAGATCTTTCACTGTGGTTTTTCACACATAGAAACAGATAGACCAGAAGTTTACTAAGATTCCAAAGGACCTGTGTGGGGAGAAAAGGCCTGCGAATGTTAACCTCTACAGTAATGCCTGGGTGCCTGAGCCTGCGTTCACAGAAAAAGGATGTGAAAGAGCGTTGTGTGCTCTACAAGACCCATTTCAATTATGGAAACGAGGATGATGGATAAGGAAGAATCTTCCAAAGGGCAAAGTCAGGGCTAATGAATGAGGAAATTATTCTCAGAAAGGAGATTTAAAGGCTGTCAGGTGGTCTAACCAAGGTGCTGATTTCACTACTAAGGGAGGGTCTTTACTATTCCTGCCCCGTGGGCTGTGACAATAGTTGTGGACCAGTAACTCCTGGGCATTTCCTGTTCTGCATTTCCAAATGGGAGCTTTTACTACTGTTATCTTGTTTATTTTCTGTCCTTTTTATTTTAGGTATGTGATGGGAAGAAACTATTAGCAATAATCACTGACCGTTAAGAGCTACACCTGATGGAGAACATTGAGCATTACTCATATATCCTGGATTTGAGCTGAATGTAGTTACTGCCGTGATTGTTACCTTTCTAAACGGAGGGTCTAGGTGTGTTAAATGTATACTAAAAAGGATGCTCATGGATATTTTTAGGGTTAAAGGAGGAAACAGCTAGTTTTTTTGCTCTATCCGTTATTCCCTTCTCCCATGGTGATGCGGTTTTAGTTTTTAGCTAGTGGTTACATGGCTTCCCAGAATAAACACTGCATTTCTTCATCTTGCTCTATGTCCTTTGTTACTGAGACTAGCTATCTCACTATGTTTGGCCAATGAGATGTAAAGAGTGTATTGCGTAGCTACCAAGAAGTGTCCTTAGGAGAAGGATGTGTGCCTTTCTCCTTTCTTTTTAACCTTGCCGGTGGGAATGTCATTGGAGTCACCATAGCACTATAAACCATTCATTTAGATACTTACACGAGAGAGATATATAGTTCTACCTTTTGAAAGTCATAGCTATTTTGCTTTCACTTGCTATTGAATTTAATGCTGTGGAGGATGCTGAGATAGAACATCCACTAATTAGAGAACAAAAACCTCTCTAATTCCCAGCTTTCTCAATTTCAATATTTTATACCATTGAGGATAAGGGTTAAAAAACTGATTATCAGAACTTTATTTACAATCTCGCACAGGTTGTTTAACATTTTGCTTTGGGAAATGGGGATAGCTAGCACCTATTTTCTAGGTGCCTCTGGGGAAACTGAGGCAGAAAGAGTCCCATTTTAGTATTCTGTTATAATCATGTATATAAATGCAGAGTTCCAGAGAATGTATACTGTAGTTAAATGACAGATTGTGTGGTATATACTACAAATGCTCAAGGAATACAGAGAATGGAGAAATTATTGTAGGCCGGACTAGTCAGAGAAGCTTCTGAGCTCTGAAAGATTTAAAGCGATGGTCTGGGTTAGAAGATAAGAGGGTGAGTCATATAGGGGTGTGTGTGTGTGTGTGAGTGTTGGTGCTCATGCGTGTGTGTGTGTGTGTGTGTCTGTGTGTGTGTGTATGAAGGGGTCAGGCAGTTCTACTGCACCGGCAAAGCACCGAAGTAGGAATATACATAGTCCACGTGGGGCCTTAGGAGTTTTACAGTTCTGGGTGAACCTCAACCTCCTCCTCCTCAATTTTTCTTTTTCTTTGTCTTCCAGAGTTGATAAGTGAACTGCATTATCATGGCTTGAACACCTACCAGCTTTCTTGATGAAAAATAACACCCCTCAAATCACCCTCCATCTTTTTTTATTTTTTTTCAGGTATGGAAAACACCACTGTCTGCCTTTTCCACAGTCATTCCCAGTTCCCTGCTAATAGACCATTGCTTTGGTTGGGTATTAGGCAGCTATGTACTTTAGGGGAGATTGCTGCCCTGCCCCACTACAGAGAGGATATCTGTATTAAGGTATTACTCTAAGTCAAGCAAGTAAGTCTGGTACTCCTTTTAGTGGTTGCTATAGGAAACTGGCATGTAGTGCAATTCTGGCTACTGCTTGAACCAACTGGTGGCAGAACTGGGACTTTGGTGACATAAAATTTGGCCATTTCAATTTGTGCCTTTTGTATGGAGCCTTTGAAGAGAGCCCTCCTATGGTTTTGTATACATTTATCCTGCGCAGCATGCAGAGGGCAGAGGCCATGGCAGGATCTCCAGAACTCTGAAGCTGTGAGTCCCAGGGGTCTAGCTTTCTGTCCGTGTGTTCCGGGGACAGACTGCGCCTGTGGCTTCTTAGTGGTGTGTGTCATGGCCAACTCAGCTGATAGGTTCCACTCTCTTTGATGGCTTCTGTTATGTCTGTTGGAAATTCAGCTGTCAGTCTTAACATTCTGTTACAGACAATGGTTCTTCCCCCGTCTCCTGCCCCCTGCATTTAGGATTTTCTTTTTGTCTTTGATTTTCAAGTTACTAACTTGTCAACATGTGGGATTCCCCACTATCCCTTCTTGGGTAATAATTCTGTTTGGGATTTATAGCACTTTTTGAATTTGTGGTGTGTTTTCTTTGGTCAATTTTGGAAACTTCTTAGCCATTAGCTCTCCAAGTGTTGCTTAGCCTCTCTAGCCCTCACTGGCTTGGAAGCTCTTTGGAGCCTTCTCTGTGCCCAGATTAAAACATTTTTTTGTCTAGGTGTTCTACTTGTTCTCAATGGGGAGATGAGTCTTCAACAAGCATCATTACCATTGCCAGAAGTAGAAATTCTCAGTTTTTTCTCACTAAGGGCTCAGAATATTTCAGGGTTTAGTATTAACTTAGAACATCTTTTTATATGAGAAAAAAATCTATTAAATTTCAAGACCGATTGTGACAGCCCGAGAGAATCAAAAGAAGACACAGTAGATCTCAAGTCTCCAAAATGAGGCCAAATTTTATTTTATCAGCATATTCAGCTACTTTACATTATTCCTCTCTCCACAAGCTGTTATTATTTTCATGTGATTCGTCATAGTCCACAGGAGTGCTCTAGAAGCTTACTATTGTATATGAAAGGGGACCAGTCCTCACTGCAGGACCCTTGTGTGGGGGACGAGGAACAAAGTAGCTGTTAGACCAATAGTTTGCTCAGTACCAATTGCCATCACTGCGTAGCCATATATGAGCTATCCTAGTGACACAGGTCAGAATAAATCTACAATTGCTGAGTTGTTTAAAGTTTGTTGGTTTGGGGGAGCAGAAGCTGTGTTCACAGCAGAGCAAAGGGAAGTGGACTTATCTTCCCAGCTCAAGTGGCCTCATCTCAGACAAAGGGCATGAGACCTAGTGATCATGGCAGAGGCCACACCTTTTCTCTCCACCTTTGCTATAACCTGTTGCCTACCTATCTGATTCACCCACAATCCCCACTTCACCTGCTTTTGGCTGCATCTATGGGATATTTCTTTACACTTTTATTCTCCCACGTCTGTTTCTCTTTTATCAGTAAACTTATATCTTCATCCCCAAGTTTTCGTTGGCTTATCAGGGCACAGAGAAGGGAGCAGGTTCTTAGGAAAAACTGTGAGTGATAGTGAGGTACACAGAGTGGTGATGCTTTCGTTAGCAGAAACAGAGGAAGACCTGAGAGTGCAACAAGTCTTGGGATTCCTGCAACTGACATGCCAATGATCTTGTGGATTACATCAGTAAACTTTATGAAGGTTCTTCTCGCCAGCACATTAATATCTTCTTCAGCTTCTCTGCCCCTACTCTCACATAAAGGATAATTGTTTGAAAAAGTTAAGTATACTTTAAGGAGCCTTTTGGAAAAATCCAGACTTTGGGAAACTCATGGAACGATTGGAACAATTTGATTCTTTTAACTAATACATTTCAAGGGAAGAGATTGAGGGGAAATCTACAGATTAGAAAAAGACTTAAAAGAGAAATCAATCAATTGAAATATCGAGACATTATCTGGATCCTTATTGAAACAAATATACTGTTAAAGAAATATGATACTTATGAGACGATTAGAAATTTGAACACTGGCTGGATATTTGATATTAAAGAATTATTAGTAAGCTTTTAGGTGTGATATTGGTGTTATAACTGTGTGGTTTTTTTTAAGAGTCTTTTTAACTGTGTTTTTTTTTTTAAGAGTCTTTTTAACTGTGTGTTTTTTTTTAAGAGTCTTTTTAAAGACAGATACTGAAATATTTGTAGATGAAATAATGTTTGAGATAATACAATGGAGGAAGGAGGTAGAGGTCTAGATCACATAAAATTCTCCGAACTGATATTTGTAAAATCTAGGTGAAGAGAACATGGGGGTTTGTTATACTTTTTTACCTACTTTCGCACATGTTTGAAGTTTTCCACAATAAAAAGAAAAAAGATCTCTGTATCTTCGGGCAACTTTGTAGAAAGAGTTCCAAACAACTCACAATTAAGATGATTCACCCTGTCCATTTCACTTAGCATAATGTCACTAAACTGAGGCCTTTTGCATAAAAAAGCTTCAGGGTCTGAAGAACATAGCACATATTGTGGGGTGGATTTTCAATTTCATGTAAATGGATATTGGCTTGAAGCCTGCTCTCTTTTAGGCTGAATGTGTACAAATGATCATCCAGGTTATTCTTTTTCTTTTTTGTGGCTAATACTTATCTTCATGCCTTTGAAATGGGGTTCCATCACATGTCACAAGACTGCCCCAGTTTTTTACAGACTATTCTTGGTCCTGAATATTCCAGACAAAAAGTGAATGGATAAAATAAAGTTTGGTAAAATTTCTCTCCACATAGCTAAAATTATTTGAATCCATACTGAGTGTCAGGTGCTATGCTGAGTATTTTATGTGCAATATTTCATGAAATCCTCATAATTACTCTATAGAAAGGTATTATTATTATTATACCTTTTTTTTTGAGATGAGAAAATGGAAGCTTAGAGAGTTTACATAACTTCAGCAAGGTCACGAAACTAGTAATTAAAGTATGGAACCAGCTGGAGTTTGAAACCTAGACTGCTTGACCCCAAAGTCTGAACTCTACCACAAACTTCAAGTTCTATAATAATTCAGTTTATTGCAGACTAAATTAAATCTAGGCCCTTTGAAATATGTATATTTAGGCAAAGGCAAAAAGAAAGATTAAAACAAAACAAAACAAAAGTAAAACCAAATGTTAAACCTCCAAAGACATCTTTAGGTTTGCTAGAACTTAAAGGCTTATGGCGCTAGGCCAGATGAGGTATTTGCTGTTGTGGGAGTGACTTTCCATGAAGCCTTCTGGAGTCTTCCTCAGAGCACCTCACAACTGCAGGTGGTACATTTTCTTTTCTTTCTTGGCTACTTAAGGCAGAGATAAGATGGGCTTTCTTGGTCCACATGATTTGGCAATCCTGGTAACGATCCGAGATTTTGTTTTCCATGGGTGATGTTACATCGTCATTGGAAGAACACCAGGATTTGCTCAGCCTCTTAACAGACTATCAGTGTAAGGCTCTCTCTCTGAGATGGTGGCCAGATCAAATTCAGCAGGGAAATAGATCAATGTCTCCTGGGTTAGCTTCATTTTTCAGGTGGTTTGAGTAACTTAAGGCTGGGGAAAGACAAACTGCCCACTGTGGTGGGGGTGGGGGTAATTGTGTAAGGAAGATAATGATACAAGATAAAGAATAACTTAAATTATTTCATACTGGAATATTCTTTAGGTCTCATTTCAGAGTGCTCCAAAGCATGCTTCTTATTTTGAAATATCCCCAAGGGACCTGGTAGCAAAGATAAGCCTGTGACTACGCAGCTCTTGCTACAGGATTTAGTTTTCCATCAATATACCTGCAGTCTGTCTTTGACAGTGATGGCATTGGAAGGAGCTCTGAAATTGGGACTACACAAGCTTGCAATCACTTGGGAAGATGAACCATATAGCTAGAATGGCTGCAGAATAGACTTGAGGAGGAGGCATCCAGTCAAAAGACCTAGTATGTGGAAATCCCTGCTATAAAGCACACCAGTTCTTTGTGACTGTGTTGAAGTTCCTGGGCTGGAGGCAAACACCAGGGGTAAAAGAGAAATGTAGTTAGGTGGGCTGGTTCAGTTACTTTAAAGTGGAAGCAGCAGGTAGTGCGTCTATGAGGCCAAACTTCTGAGGCTGTTTCTGAGAAATTTAAGACCCATATCAGGAGCAGCACTGTCTTTAGTTGATGGAATTCTATTGCCCCATAGACTGTCTATAGAAGGTTCCATGTTTTGGGATGTAACTTGCTGGCAGAGGCTCTCCCTCTAATGTGTGGAACTTGAGGCTCAGGACAGTTGTTCACTCTCCTCCTAGCTTTCACGATGCAGTTGTTTGGCTGAGCATCTGTTCACAGGGACCTTGGCAATTTCCTAGAGAGCCCATATTAAGAGGGCCATGGTAATTGTTCCTCTTTTTTCCACCTGAGAGGGAGCTTGTTTTCTGAGGCTTCTTTAAGGCAAGGGTCCCTAATTCCCTGCTTCAGACCACTACCAGTCGGTGGCCTATTAGGAACCGGGCCACACAGCAGCAGGTGAGCAGCAGGCAAGTCAGACAAGCTTCATCTGTATTTGCAGCCGCTCCCCTGTGCTACATCACAGCCTCAGCTCCACCTCAGATCATCAAGCATTAGATTCTAATAGGAGCACTCGTCCCTGGTGCTGAAAAGGTTGGGGACCACTGCTTTAAGGAGCATTAAGGTGAGAATTCCAAGTAGTGCCTTATAAGATAGAACTCGTCCCTGGTTGGGGACCACTGCTTTAAGGAGCATTAAGGTGAGAATTCCAAGTAGTGCCTTATAAGATAGAACTCTCTATAAAATAGT